GCAGCACGGTGGACATCAGTGCTAGCCCAGCAGTTTCACTCAGCCTTCAGTTCCAGCTCAACCCCAAAGCGGCCCTGTGTGCAGCCGAGAGCCACACCTGGCCCTGGGACATGAATCCTGCTGGGCTCAAGCCAGACCCTCTCCACCCTGCCTGACCCCACCCCCTCCCAGGGAAGCGTCCACAACAGCCCTCCACTGCCCTGAATTGAAAGCCTTAAATAATTAACCTATAGCATGGCACACCTACTTAAAAGCTCATTAGGGTGCTCTAAGTGGATCACAAGAAGGAAATAAAAGGACGATCATTCGCAATGAAATACATCATCTTTCAATATGCAAATGAGCAGTCAGAGACACGGGGTCCTTAGGCCCTGCTGACCCTGGGTAGTAAGTTCCAAAGGATGAGAAATCAGAAAGTGAGGCGTGGGAGGAGAATGAAGGCAGCCTTTGTGTATAAAATAGCATACTCGGAGCTAGAAAGACGCCTTAACAGGTAAAGGCACCTGCTGCCAAGTCTGACAACCTGGAGTTCGAGCCTTGGGATCCTCACAGTGGAAGGAGAGAACCAAGTCCTCCAAGGTGTCCTCTGACACACACACACACACACACACACACACACACACACACACACACACACACACACCACATATTTCCAGCTCATCTGCAAGTGCTGACCAATTCTACATTCTCTGCAAGCCCCAAGGAAGGCACCTGCATGGCAGCAGGGGCTCTGAGAGGGGCCCTGACTTGCATACAGTGGTGACAGGAAAAGGAACATGGTGGCTGGAGCCGGGGAACGGGACACACTGCACACATGTGGGGAACAGGACACACTGCACACATGTGGGGAACGGGACACACTGCACACATGTGGAGAACGGGACACACCGCACACATGTGGGGAACGGGACACACTGCACACATGTGGGGAACGGGACACACTGCACACATGTGGGGAACGGGACACACCGCACACATGTGAGGGAACGGGACACACCGCACACATGTGGGGAACGGGACACACCGCACACATGTGGGGAACGGGACATACTGCACACATGTGGGGAACGGGACACACTGCACACATGTGGGGAACGGGACACACCACACATGTGGGGAACGGGACACACCGCACACATGTGGGGAACGGGACACACTGCACACATGTGGGGAACGGGACACACTGCACACATGTGGGGAACGGGACACACCACACATGTGGGGAACGGGACACACCGCACACATGTGGGGAACGGGACACACTGCACACATGTGGGGAACGAGACACACTGCACACATGTGGGGGAATGGGACACACCGCACACATGTGGGGGAACGGGACACACCACACACATGTGGGGAACAGGACACACCGCACACATGTGGGGAATGGGACATACTGCACACATGTGGGGGAACGGGACACACTGCACACATGTGGGGAACGGGACACACTGCACACATGTGGGGAACGGGACACACCACACATGTGGGGAACGGGACACACCACACACATGTGGGGAACAGGACACACCGCACACATGTGGGGAATGGGACACACCGCACACATGTGGGGAATGGGACACACCGCACACATGTGGGCCAGGGCCATGGAGATTCGGCTTGTCATATAGCAACAACCTAACGGCAGCTTCGCGGATGTCTAACCACAAAGAGAGGGAGGACTTGTCTAACCCTTGCCAACCCAGGATCCAGCGCTCCCTCCCCTGCATCCAGGAAGGCCTTGTCTGTCCTGTGATTCCATGACTCCCGAGGGCCCCTGTGCCCTAACTGTCCCCGCCACCCTCATCATCACCTTACAGTCTCATTATTGGGGTGATGTCCCTGGATTTAAACATAGTGTCTCCAGACGCTCCTTATTAAAACCTGCATATCTTGTCTGGGAAGAAGTAATACATAATCATCAGAATAAATAATTCTCCATTAGCTCTTGGATTCAGGAGGCTTGAGAGAGAAGACATGAGAGGCAGGCAAGTTTGAGCTGAGTCTACTCACGGGCCAGAGTGAGCTTTCTGTTCGTGTGTGTATGTGTGTGTGTGTGTGTGTGTGTGTGTGCTGTGTATGTATGTGTGCATATGGATGTGTGTGTGTATACGCATGTGTGTGTATGTGTGTGATGGGCATCCGTTTGTATGGGGGATATGTGCATATGTATGTATTTCTATGCATATGTACATGCAGATGTGTGTGTGTTGTGTGTGTATGTGTGTGCATGTGTGTATATGTATGTGTGTATGTGTGTGCATGTGTGCATATGGATGTATGTGTATATATGCATGTATGTGTGTATATGCATGTGTGTGTATGTGTGTGGTGGGCATCCGTTTGTATGGGGGATATGTGCATTGTCGCGTCTGCCTGTGTCCGAGAACGTGCGGAGGGTGTCGGGGATTGACAACACAGAGACTTGTTCAACGATGTAAAGAAAACTTTAAGCAGGCCCCAAAAAGGTTCAAGAAAACTTCCTAAGAAAGGCCCCCACCAGAGACGCTTCTGCTCTCTCCTCTCCCCTGGCTGGTTCTCTCTGACCCCAAAAACTGATCTGGGCGTGGCAGAAGAGGTGGTTAGTCTTTGGACAAGGTCGAGGTCAGGGTGGTTTCTGCGGGCAGGCCTTTTCCAGGAACTTAATGCCCCCAGGCATTGTATTGTTTTTCTTACAGCTGCCTACTCCCAGGCAGAAGGGGAAGTGGGTTTCTGCTCAAGGTCTGGTGTTCCCACAATGCATATGTATGTATTTCTATGCATATGTGCATGCAGATGTGTGTGTGTGTGTGTGTGTGTGTGTGTGTGTGTGTGCAGGGAAGAAATCCATGTCAAGAATCCACCTTTATCAGTTTCCACTTACTTTTTTTAGTCAGTCTCAGTAACTGAACCAGGAGCACACCAGTTCAGTCAGTCTGGCTGGCCACCTGCTACAGCACCTGTGATTTGTTTGTTTGTTTTTGTTTTTTTTTCGGCAGTGCTGGGGATCCCTATGGGGTCCTTGGTTTGCGTGGCCAGCTGGGCCATCTCCCTGCCCACCATTCCTCCCCTCGGTGGTATTGGTTGTCCTGTGGACTGGACACTGCTTTGTTCTGGCCCTGGTGGAATTGACCTTTGTTCTGGTTTCATTTCTGTTACTGCGATCAAATGTCCTAATCGCAAGCAACTTAGAGGGGAGAGGGTTTATGTTAGCTCACAATCCCAGGGGCTCCTCAGGATGGAGGGAGCTTGAGACAGCGGGTCCCACCCCATCCACAGTCAGAAACATCACACCTCTGAGGGCCAGGGGACGCTGAGGAGCTGGAGTTATGAACGCTTGTAAAAGCAATGCAGACAGGAATGTACAGGATACAGCCATGAATGTGCACACGTATGGGCACGCACATGCAAGTTCACCACACACTTGCACACATGTCCCCACGGAAGCCATGACTCATTCACTGCTGCGATGAGCACAGAGCCCCCCTCTTCCTGCACAGCAGACAGAATCTTCTAGAACTGCTGTATAGACACAGCATGATTCTCTCTAATCATGAGGCCAGTTTCCCTCCCTTGTCTCAAAGGAACAGCCCATGATCTCATCCCTGGCTCAGAAGATCTGGAAGCAGCTGGAAGACATGGTGCTCCCAAGACACCCCATGCATGACAGAGCAGAAACCAGCCGCCACATGCCACCCTGTGCACACATGACAGCAGAAACCAGCCGCCACATGCCAATAGTGGGCAACTGCCCAGTTCTCTTCCTGAAACTCTGGATGTCGATGGTGGCCAGGTCACAGGAGCAACTGCGGCAGGAGCATGTTAAGCCTGTGGCATTGTCAGTCCCTCAGGCTGGGCCTCAGCTTGCTGAAAGTCACAGCTCCTGTCAGAATCCATGTCCTCTCTCAGTGGGCCAACCCCTTGCTTCCCTGCAGGCAGCCAAGAGTAGGGGTAGAATTTGAACCCAGAACCTTCTACTTCACATCACGTTCAAACTCAAGTCATCACATCCAGTCTGAGGGGGCCGAATGAGAGGACAGCAGCACCCTGTGACTGTGATCCTGCGTGCCCACGCTGAGGGGAGGTGATGCTCTCTGGCCCTGGCCCTATGTGGCCCAAAACATTCCATCTCCTGTGTTCTCAGCCTGGCCTCCTCCGTACTCTGTCTTTGGCCTAAGCGCAGCAGACCCTAGGCGAAGCAAACCGACCAATGCACCTCCAACGGGATCAGAGGCCTCCCTGGGGGCTCTGGGTAGAGGGCAGATCATCGGGTTCTACTTATAAATGCCTAGAAGACCTCTCCAGGGCCAGGCCCACCAGGGTTAGCTTCACACACCCGTGATATTTGGACTTTAGTCACCTCCAAATGATCCCTGCAGTGACAGGATGGACCTCCAGCCATGACAGACTGTCAGTCACAGCATCCCCACGACAGTCACCAAGCCTGTCACATGACTCCTCCTCCTGCAGCCTGCACCAGCCACTCCAGAAGAGCTGCAGGGAGAGCTGAGGCACAGGCAGGTCAAGCAGCTGGCCCAGACACCCGGGCCTAGGAAAGTCAGCGCAGAACTCATGGACTTCAGGCAGAAGTCAGCACCCAGTCACCCCTCCCCGACCTGCCGAGCACCTCAGACCCCATTTCCTGAGGCTGCCTGGTTCTCACTTCCTGAACAGACCCAGGGTCAGCCACCCTGGGTCTCCACAGCCGGGCTCTGCATTTCTTCGTGTTTAAATACAGCGTCCTGGGTTACCTGGTACCCTCCATTCTGCTCTGGCCGGCAGACCCAGGATAGGATCAAGGCTCTGGACCCAGACGCCAGGGGCTCAGCTCTTGATTCTGAGGCTTCTCAACTATGGAGGCCTGGGCTGAGTCCCGTCACTGTCCCCATCTTCCTCCTCACGGGCAATCATGAGCATTTGCTGAGGGGATGTGTCCCACCCATGGATGCCATGACCAGCACATAGTAGGCGTTCAGCTAATGCTCACAGCCTGTATCTCTTTGGCCCCATCTGCTTACTGGGAATAAAGGGTCCCCTTGGGCCCTTCAATCCATCCTAAGTGGTCCTCCGCTGTGGGGGACAGACCAGCTGGAGCAGGTGTGTGGTGATGACAGGCCAGCCCCGCCAGCGCCCGAGGTGACCCTCACGGTCCAAGTCCACTCTTTCACATTCTCAGGCACTATTTCTGGAGGGCCCTGGGAGAAGCAGAGAAAGACAAATTCTTGGTGGGGACAGAAGCACAGCCACATAGCTCAGTGACCTTCTTCAACAAGGGGACATGAGACAGAGATCTGCAGGTGCCTCAGGACTCACGGGAATTGTCTGCAGGGAGCAGCTCGTCCAAGGCCAGTCCGCAGGGCAGAGTGAGGCTGGGGCGTGAGGACTGGGCGAGAGCCTGCCGGGAATTGTGGGTGTAGCTTCTGAGCAGGAGAGGGGTGGGGCCTCGCAGGCGTGGTCAGTGCCCTTCAAGCCCCTGAGCAGCGAGCCTGATTCAGTGTCTGTTATGACTCTGGATGTCACAACTGGCCCTTCAAATTAGTTGGACAGCTGAGCTGACGAGAGTGACAAGTTTTTCAGAGAATCTGGCTGGGTCTCTCTTCACAGGTGGAAGACAAGTGCAGAGAGAAACAGGGACATACTGCGTCACGTGCCACTTGGGGATCGTCTACATTCAAGTCATTCCTGACCCTCCCCCTCCTGAACATCTACACACACACACACACACACACACACACACACACACACACACACACACACACATTCTCTCTCTACTCTCTAACACTCGAGCAGAGGCTACCTCTCAAGACAGCCTGGCCCACACTGCCACCTGGTGGCCACAGTTTTAAATGGTTCCAGCAAGTGGAGTGGGGGGGGGGACTGGGAAGACAGTTAATGTGGGTTAGTGGGTCCTTGTGTTCTCATAGATACAAACGGAAGAGAGACAAAAGACAAGGAGAAAAAGAGAGGAAAGAACAGGAAAAGAATCGTGCCCAAAGACCAGCCACAGAACAAAGAAAACCAGAAAGGTGGTGTGGGGGAGGGGGTTGGGGGAACAAAGGAACAGGAACAACAAAAATGACCAATAAAAAAAAAGGAAGGAAGGAAGACCCAAAAGGGGTAAAAATGTAAAAAAGTAGAGGAACCAGTGGGAAAAATGGTTATATGAAATTTAGCCTGCCAGCAGGTCTCCTTGTCCAAACACTACCACCTGCACCTCCAGGCAGACACTGTCCCCAACACAGGCACCTAGGTCTCTGTGCTCCTAGGAGAGACCCCACCAAGCAACCACAACTTCTGGGCATTCCACAGTCCATGGTGCCCCCTGCTGGACAGACTGGGCTCTATATGCCTTCAGAACATTACTGCTGGGCCAGGCTGTCCTGAGGGCAGTATAGCTTCTCCATTGCTTAAAAAAGGAAAATGACAGAGGTAGGCGGATCTCTGTGAGTTCGAGAGCAGCCTGGTCTACAAGAGCTAGTTCCAGGACAGCCTCCAGTGTCACAGAGAAACCCTGTCTCGACACCCCCCACATGCAAAAAAATAATAATAATAAAATTCTGGCAACTCATGAACCTAAGCAGATAAAACACCTGCAAATAGTGCAGGACTGATCTGGGCCCGGGCCTGTGTATAGCAGGAGCTGTGTATAGGTCAGCTTATAGGGACTCTTGTGATCAGCATGCTTGTGGCCAGCTTGGATTCCAACTGTGTTGATGCATTTTTGTTTTAAGGTTTATTTGTGTGTATGAGGGTCTTGCCTGCAATCTACATCCAGAAGAAGGCGTCAGATGCGCTGGAACTGGAGTCACAGACGGTTGTGAGCTGTGGTGTGGAAGAACAGCCAGTGCTCTTATCGCTGAGCCCTCTCCAGGCCATTAAGGGTTAAACTCCACTGTTGCTCGGATCCAATGTCTCAGACACTGGATCTGGATTTGCCCTCCCTCTGAACACATGGGAAACACCCACCCAGAACAGGGCAGGAAACCTCTAGAAAAATACCAATCACATTTCTCTCCTGTCAATAATGAACTCAAGAGCTTAGAATCCAAAGCAAGATTGGAATTCCACATAAAAGCCGTTGTTTGTTGTATGGGACTGTCATCATTCACACTGCTCATGCTGTTGTTGTATGGGACTGTCATCATTCACACTGCTCATGCTGTTGTTTGTTGTATGGGACTGTCATCATTCACACTGCTCATGCTGTTGTTGTATGGGACTGTCATCATTCACACTGCTCATGCTGTTGTTTGTTGTATGGGACTGTCATCATTCACACTGTTCATGCTGTTGTTGTATGGGACTGTCATCATTCACACTGCTCATGCTGTTGTTTGTTGTATGGGACTGTCATCATTCACACTGTTCATGCTGTTGTTGTATGGGACTGTCATCATTCACACTGCTCATGCTGTTGTTGTATGGGACTGTCATCATTCACACTGCTCATGCTGTTGTTTGTTGTATGGGACTGTCATCATTCACACTGTTCATGCTGTTGTTGTATGGGACTGTCATCATTCACACTGTTCATGCTGTTGTTGTATGGGACTGTCATCATTCACACTGCTCATGCTGTTGTTGTTGTATGGGACTGTCATCATTCACACTGCTCATGCTGTTGTTTGTTGTATGGGACTGTCATCATTCACATTGTTCATGCTGTTGTTGTATGGGACTGTCATCATTCACACTGCTCATGCTGTTGTTGTTGTATGGGACTGTCATCATTCACACTGCTCATGCTGTTGTTTGTTGTATGGGACTGTCATCATTCACACTGCTCATGCTGTTGTTTGCTGTATGGGACTGTCATCATTCACACTGCTCATGCTGTTGTTTGCTGTATGGGACTGTCATCATTCACACTGTTCATGCTGGTGGCTCAGGGCCACCGACCTCTATGGGTGTCTGAGCTGGAAGCCATCCCACGCCACTCACCACCAAACAAGCAGACCACGCCTCATTTGTATTATATACCGACTTTTAATAATAATAAAAAATCTATCGTGAATTTAATGAAAAGAATCTGTACATTTAAAATAAACCAGGCATGATGCCCTGGCCCTCGGGGTCGTTCCCCATTCCCCTCAGCAAGGTTAACACAGGGCTCTGATTCTCTGGACAAACAAAACACATCAACAAAGCCGACTCCATAGCAAGAGAAAGGTGACCCTGGGGGCCGAGAAGACCATACTCCCCCAACACATCCTTACAGCCCGCCAGAGGTGACAGGATCCTCTCCTCCCTCCTCCATGCTGGCATGTCCCCCCAGACATTCAGAAACTGGGGATCCGACAAACAGCCAAGGGTGCCCACGCGCAGACCCCAACCCAGAAGGAAGACACCAGGTTCCTAACTCTGGTTCTCCAACAAGTCCCAAATGCCCTGCTCTGAGGTGGCAACATGAAAACAAATGACATACAGCCCAGTCCTAAGCCACAACTCGGTCTGGCCACTTCTCAAACCCTGCTCCAGTCATTCAACAACAAAGTCCAACATGGGCCAGATGCTGCTGAGGCAGGGGACGGAAGCAGCGAGCCCTGTGAGCCACGTCTCACGACCGTAAGATTTTAAAATGGAAATAATGACATCTTAAACTTTTTCAATAATTTAGTTTCTTCCTTTTTTCTTTTCTTTTCTTTTTCTTTTTCTTTTTTTAGTAGAACTGAATAAAGTTGTTGATACTACTTTACGTTGGTCCCGTTAGGCAATATACTTTCCTCTGAAATTTAAAGTGTCAAAGACATAAAACTTAGGGGAAGGGGAAACTTGACAACACTAACAATAATGATAAGAAAAAAATACAAAATATAAACCACAGAGATGTTGTGCCATATAAACTAACATCAGAGCCAGTCTGGTACCCAGAGCTAGCAGCTCAGATTCCAATGGTGGTGGGTCTCTCAAGTGTTCACGAGGTGACGGCTGCTCAGCCCAGTGTCCCTCTCCTGGCAGAAGCCAGGCTGTCCCGAGTCTGCTGGGCTGGTTAGTAACGGGTGGGGAGCGGATTGGAAGCTTCAGCCAGGGCAGAAGATAGGCACAGTCTCCAGGAATGTAGACCTGGGAGGAGCCCAGGTTCAAAGTGCAGCTTTGCCATCTGAGGAGCTGGGTCTTCGGGCCTCCAGCTACCGGACCCTGTGACTTGTCCCTCTGTAGGGGACTTGGGTGAATGTAGGCGTCCAGGCCCCAGCTACATTCATGAGCTCTGGGGGCCCTAGCAGCCCTCAGGCTTTAGGCAGAAGTATGGAGAGCCTGCCAGCCCAGGGGTGACCAGCCAGTCGGGGAGGGTGTGTGCACAGAGGCTTGTCCTGGGCGGTGACAGCTAGGTCAGCTGGGTAGATCTCGACACAGCTACGGCAGAAGCCTCAGGTCACCTTGTGGCTGCTCCGTGTCCTCCCATACTGCAGCTGCAGAGGCCGTGGCCGAGCAGGGTGCATGTCGGTGTTCAGAGGTCTCCATCCACTGGAGGCTGGCACAGGCGGTAGAGGCTGGCGGGTGGAGACCGAGAGCATGAGGGGCCGAGTGGCTACCACATGGGGCTGCTTCCTCCTTCATCTATCAGGACAAGCAGCTCACCCCAGAACAATACAGAGAGTGGTAAATACCAAACGGTTCTCGCCACCTCAAAGGCAGTCTGTCCCTCTAGACTATGGTTCTCAACCTGTGGGTCGTGACCCCTTTGGGGTTGCAAAACAGTAGCAAAACTATAGTTATAAAGTAGCAATGAAGGTAATTTTATGGTTGGGGTCACTGCAGCATGAGGTCACAGCATTAGAAAGGTTGACAATCACCGCTCTATAGGCTGGCAAAGCATTGATTACCAAACGGCACATGTACTTGGATGTTTATAGGGTACAGGCACTGGGCAACAGCTCTAAGCTGCTCCCCATCTCACAGAGTTTGAGCCTGCCCGCTTGTAGCCATGATGGCTCCTTGGTTTCGGAAGGGCTGCAGAGGAGGACACTGGGTTGTGCCTTCAGTGAAGCAGCGTGTGCTGGGCTTCAAGGAGAGGCAGCCACGGAGAGGGATGATTTCAGGGGTAGGGAGACCAGACAGGAGGTCACCGTGGTGAACTCGAGAGACACAGTTGTGAGAGTTAAATGTCTAGGCCTAGACTGTCTGGGGTTGGCATTCCAACTCTGCTACTAACTTGTGACCCCCCAGCAAGATACTAAACACCTCTGGGTCTCCGTGTGCCCGCCTGCAGATGGGTCTCAGCAGGACCTGGCTTGCAGGGCTGCTGCGGGCCCGGCGGGGTTTATAAGAGGGTGGGTGGCACCGTTCCTGAACAGGTCAGGGGCCACAGAGGCATGAAGATGAGTTGGCAGACCAAAGCCCATGAACAGGCTTCAGGGGAGTGACAACAGCACACCAAGGCCCTGATCAGGGACATACTGG